CTCCAGGACCTTGAAATGCTTCTTACGAAGCCACTCCTTGGTTTCCTGGGCGGTATGTTTGGGATCATTGTCATGTTGGAAGACCCAGCCACATTTCATCTTCAATGCCCTTGCTGATGGAAGGAGGTTTGCACTCAAAATCTCACGATACATGGCCCCATTCATTCTGTCCTGTACATGGATCAGTCGTCCTGGTCCCTTTGCGGAGAAACAGCCCCAAAGCATGATGTTGCCACCCCCCATGCTTCACAGTAGGTATGGTGTTCTTTAGATGCAACTCAGCATTCTCTCTCCTCCAAACACATTGAGTTGTGTTTCTACCAAACAGGTCTATTTTGGTTTCATCTGACCATATGACATTCTCCCAATCCTCTTCTGGATCATCCAAATGCTCTCTAGCAAACTTCAGACGGGCCCGGACATGTACTGGCTTAAGCAGGGGGACACGCCTGGCACTGCAGGATCTGAGTCCCTGGCAGCGTAGTGTGTTACTGATGGTAGCCTTTGTTACGTTGGTCCCAGCTCTCTGCAGGTCATTCACTAGGTCCCCCCGTGTGGTCCTGGGATTTTTGCTCACCATTCTTGTGATCATTTTGACCCCACGGGATGAGATCTTGCGTGGAGCCCCAGATTATCAGTGGTCTTGTATGTCTTCCATTTTCTAATTATTGCTCCCACAGTTGATTTGTTCAGACCAAGCTGCTTGCCTATTGCAGATTCAGTCTTCCCAGCCTGGTGCAGGTCTACAATTTTGTTTCTGGTGTCCTTTGACAGCTCTTTGATCTTCACCATAGTGGAGTTTGGAGTGTGACTGTTTGAGGTTGTGGACAGGTGTCTTTTATACTGATAACAAGTTCAAACAGGTGCCATTGATACAGGTAATGAGTGCAGGACAGAGGAGCTTCTTAAAGAAGAAGGTACAGGTCTGTGAGAGCCAGAAATCTTGCTTGTTTGTAGGTGACCAAATACTTATTTTCGACCATAATTTTCAAATAAATTCTTTCCAAATCAGCCAATGTGATTGTCTGGATTTGTTTTCTCATTTTGTCTCTCATAGTTGAGGTCTACCTATGATGCCAATTACAGGCCTCTCTCATCTTTTTAAGTGGGAGAACTTGCACAATTGGTGGCTGACTAAATACTTTTTTGCCCCACTGTATATATAATGTGTGCAAATTAGGCACGACATTTTAGTGGTTAATTGATATATTATATGAGTTTTTATTCACTTGTATATTCACTCTTAATTTGATTTGTGGAGTCTTTTTGATTATATGCACGGCAAAATAGTATTTTTCACAGTGTGTGTTAATTCACTATTTTAAATAAGTTTGGTTGCACCATTTTTCTTCCTCCATTAGAGGGAGACATTAGTGTATATTATACAGAGTTGTCACATATTATTATGATATTTATTATAATTTTTGAAGGCACGTTTTATTTTATATTAATTTTTATGTAATGTAAGCGCTTCACTATTTTTCTTTATTTATTTGTACTTGGTGGTGTAAGTTGAGTGACGGCAGCTACATAATAGTAAATAGCCATCCTATTAAGCGCAGGAGGATTCTTTCTTTATACAGGTTATGGTAGAAGCAAAATACAGCTAAATTTAAAAAAATGTTGTTTTTTTTTAACTAATTTGGGCAAGTTTTCCTATGGGAGAAAAAAAAAAAAAAATCAGTAGATATCCATTACCATTTACCACCAAATGAAAGTCCAATTTGTCCTGAAAAAGATCAAGGTATAATCCCCCTGGATGCACAAAGTAGTTGTGACGATATGTACGGTTTTCCTAACACATGTCGAAGTTGCAAAATTGTGCTTAGGTGTTAAGATTTGCTTTACCCTTAGGCACAATGGGGTTAAGGAACCATTGAAATTAAACAAACAAAAACTGAACCTAGTGGACTTTTAAGGAACCCACTCAGAAGTGTATAAAAACAACTATTTCATTAATATACACATGAACAAAACACAGGAATTGTACGCTGAATTTGCTATGATGGAGACTGATCCCTTCCCCTTTATATAAAGGGAAGCAGAGGGCATGGGAGCAGTACCACTCACCACAAGAAAGAAGCCACTATACCACCAATGAACTCTGGATTATCAGGAAGGAAATATAGGAAACACAGCCTTGGATGTCACCTTTGCTCCTGGGGTTGTTATTTTAGTCCTTTTTTAATTGTGGCACCCCTGTGGTTAATGTGTGGAAATTTTAAGGTGGCCTCTGTGCTTTGTATTATGCAGATTCTGCTTGTGTAGAGTAATGAAGCTGTCAGTCATTCTTGTTGTTACCACACACCTTCTGGAGAGGGGAAGGTGGAGGGCACAGGAGCACCCGATTCCAGGGAGGATGCTACCATCACTACCAATGAGAACCACGGAGTATTAAGTGCATTAAAAGAGACATTATCTTGGACACCACTGCTATTCTGGAGGTTAGTATCTTAGTCTCTCCATTTTTCCAGTTGCAGCGCCTCTTGTGATTATTGCATGGAAACGTTTTGGTAACTTTTGTGTTTGTATTATGCAGATATTGCTCCCATTGAGTGATGAAACTGTTAGCTTCTCCAGTTATTACCATACATCTCTTGTAATATATGTTTGTGCAATAATGGACGGCTTCCGTTCTACAACATAAGCTTATATGCCCTTAGGTAGGCATGTTTCCTTATTGGCCATAGTGTAATCCTGAGTATCTGTGTGGAGGAACCCCCATATAGATAGGGTTATGCTGATGTGTATTATTTTTGCTTCCAGACTGTATATTCAGATACTATATATATATATATATATATATATATATATATATATATATATATATATATATATATATAAATAAAATATTGGATCCCCCCGTCGTGCCTTTCCTTGTTCAATCTGGATGGCCTCGGCACTCGTCCGGTAGACCATCTGATGACATGACCTCTAACATTTCAGCATACTCGACTGCATGTATCAACTACATGTGGACTGTCAGTCACCAGCTCTCTGCTCTGCTTCTCCAGCACTCACTGGAGCGCTGGGCTGTGGAGGGCGTGGGAGTGGCTGTTTTAGGCTCTCAGCACCTCGATGAGAGGCTGAGCCAGCTGCCGGTCCAGACATCTGGGTGGATTCCGACCGTCACAGCCACTGGGTGTAGAGACTATTTCTGCCCACATTCACCCTGTTATTTGTTTTATTTCCCTTTTTGTTACATTTTTGAAGGACTGTTTTCTTGTATTTAGTTTAGGAAATATCTGGACAACTTTGATTAGAATTATGACTGCAGCTGTCCAAGCCCAAAAGGCATTACCTGTCACCCGAGAAGATCAAAGGAGCTCCTAAAAGTGGCCAATCAGAGTGCTTGCCATTATACTGAGTTGGAAGAATGTGTATATTAGGGAAGCTTTTTTTTTTTTTGATTAAGGGTGACAGGAGAAAGTGAGTCTTGAAGGTTTCTGATATGGCATGAATATTCTAAATACCCTCTCATCTGCCTTATCTGTAACTCTGTTTTATGAATGGTCGCCGAACTGATTAAATGCATCTCTCTGGAAAAGAACTGCTGGACTAGTTGCTGCGGGTAAAGTACATTTATAAATACACTCACCCGTCATTCCTCCTCCTTCATGATATAAGAAAACAGATTTGTCTTATGAACTGTTTCTGTGTGGACATATTAATATAAGACAACACCAAGCCAGGCTGTGTGCATCCACAAATGCACACAGCGCAGCTCTGTCATGCCCCCTGCTTTCTCCTCACAGAATTTGGGAGTCTATGGCTCCCACTGTCTCCCGTGAGACCAGGAAGAGGAAGCAGTGCAGACAGCTGGATCGTTGGAGGAGTTAGACAAGTATTGTTTTTGTTTTTTGGGGGGGGGTTTGTAGAGGGGGTGTCAAGCAGTGGAACCTTTTTTACCGTAATGCAGGAAATGCATTAATGTAAAAAATATGTTTTGGCTTTGGAACCACTTTAAGGAATACCTGAAGCAGGCCTTGAAATTTCCACTCGCCTGCTCGCCAATGGCGAGTGAAAATTATGGTGGGGGTGAGTGTGTCCCCCAGGGCCATCTTGCTGAGCAGGCTCGGAGCTTAGGCCGGATCTGTCATTGGCACTGAGAGCCGTCAGACGGCTCAATAGCTGAGCACAGTGAAAGCAAAGGAAGGAGTGTGTGCTGTGCTCTCTGCCTCCCCCTAGAGTGCAGTACCCGGCTCTGTGAGTGAACAACAAAGTACTGCAACTTTTTATAGGGCTGTGTGTGTGTGTGTATGTGACTCTGGTCACATGATCCTCTAAATCAGCCAGCGGTGGCTTCAGGGGAGCGGAGAGAGCACTTAACAGCGTGCGTACATGTGTGTGTGTTTGCGTGTGTCTGTATGTATGTACATGTGTGTATTAGTACATGTGCCTGTGTGTATGTACATGTATGTGTGTACATGTGTCTGTGTGTGTGCATGTACGTGTACGTGTGTGTGTACATGTGTCTGTGCATGTATGTACATGTATCTGTGTGTATGTGCATGTGTATTTCTGTGTATGTACATGTATCTGTGTGTATGCATGTCTGCACGTGCCTGTGTGTGTATACATGTGTCTGTATGTGTGTGTGTGTACATGTGTCTCTGTGCATGTGTGTACATGTGTGTGTGTACAGGTGTCTCTGTTTGTGTGTGTTTGTTGGTAGCGAGTAACTCTTAAGGCCTGGCTAGTAGGTCAGGACTTGAAATTTTAAGCCCTGCCTGAAGTGCTCGGGCCTCCTGTCTATAGACATGAACCCAAGACATCAGGGAGAATGTCCCTTTCTGATGTTAGGTTGTATATCATATCTGACTTGGGTCAGAGACTGATGTTGTGTTGCCACTCTGCTGACAAATTGTTGGTTCTCAATGATGGATTCTCATTGAGAACAACACTCCCTACCCATACACTGAATACATTAGTCAGCTGTATCAAAATAACAAATGTTATGGCAACTTTAATGTTATGCTAATAATGTAACATTTTCATACCATAATCTTCTTGTGTGATACTCAAAGAGGCTCCTCCTACTTGTTGAGGGGTTGAATTGTCTTCTAGCTTTCGTAAAATTTCCTCCTGTATTTCATCGGGACCAGATTCTCGTTTGCGACTGACAAAGTGAGCATATAATTCTGTTTGCGTTATCAAGAAGTTCAGTTTTCTCTGCTGCCTCTTAGCCTGATTGTATAACAAAAAAAAAAGAAAGAACAGGAATAAAAGTTCCTAAATTACAAAAACAGATAGAACAGAATGAATAGACTTAAAGTAAAAAAAAAGTTTATGCTAAATAAAAATTATTGCAGTAACAATGAAATGTGGAATTATTAGCCATTACAGTACTGGGCCGTTTTACCCCCTTCCTGCCCAGGCCAATTTTCAGCTTTCAGCCCTGTCGCACTTTGACCCAAACTAAATTTTCATCATTTGTTCACACAACTAGAGCTTTCTGTTAGTGGTATTTAATCATCACTGGGGTTTTTAAGATTGTGTAGCTAAATAAACGATCAAGGACCAAAAACTTTAATTTTGCTAATAAATAACTGTTCTTCATAAATGTATTCTGCTACATTTCCTTGGAGAAATTAACCAAAATCAGCTTATATTATTTAGTCTGTAGGAAAGATAGAGTCCACAAACTATGGTACACACACACGCGCACGCACGCACGCATGCACGCACGCACACACACACACACACACACACACACACGGCTTCACATTTCAAGTCCTGAGCTACTAGCCAGGCCTTAAGAGTTACTCGCCACCAACAAACACACACAGACATGTACATACACACAGCAACATGTACACACATACAGACTCATGTATACACACACAGGCACGTACAGACACGCATACACACAGATACATGTACATACACAGAAATACACACGCACAGACACATGTACAGTTCTGTTCAAAATAATAGCAGTGTGTTGAAAAAAGTGTGTATCAAATTTGTGTTGTTCCTCTAAAACAATTGAAGAAAAGTGAATATTAGACTGTTCAAAAAAATAGCAGTGTTTGTATTCTTCTTTACAAACTCAAACATTCACTATATAAACTGAAAAATGTTTGAAGATTTTGCTTTCCTTAGAATCACTTAATATTTAGTTGTATAAGCACTGTTTCTGAGAACTGCTGTACATCTGTGTTGCATGGAGTCAACCAACTTCTGGCAGCTGTGAACAGGTATTCCAGCCCAGGATGATTGGACTACATTCCACAGTTCTTTTCTATTTCTTGGTTTTGCCTCAGAAACTGCATTTTTGATGTCACCCCACAAGTTTTCTATTGGATTAAGATCCGGGGATTGGGCTGGCCACTCCATAACATCAATCTTGTTGGTCTGGAACCAAGATGTTGCACGTTTACTGGTGTGTTTGGGGTTGTTGTCTTGTTGGAACACCCATTTCAAGGGCATTTCCTCTGCAGCATAAGGTAGCATGACCTCTTTAAGTATTCTGATGTTTTCAACAGTGGGACTTTGCGGGGGCTTCTTGCAGATAGCTTGGCTTCACATAGGCGTCTTCTAATTGTAACAGTACTCACAGGTAACTTTAGACCTTCTTTGATCTTCCTGGAGCTGATTGTTGGCTGAGTCCTTGCCATTTTGGCTTTTCTTCTATCCATTCGAATGGTAGTTTTTCGCTTTCTTCCACATCTTTCAGGTTTTGGTTGCCATTTTAAAGCATTTGCAATTATTTTAGCTGAGCAGCCTATCATTTTCTGCACTTCTTTATATGTTTTCCCCTCTCCAATCAACTTTTTAATCAAGGTACGCTGTTCTTCTGAACAATGTCTGGAACGACCCATTTGCCTCAGAATTTCAGAGAGACATGCACTGTAACCTGCATGTACAACATTTGCTGCCTTCCTTCCTTAAATAAGGGCAATAATTGCCACCTGTTTTTCAAAGAATGAATGACCTCACTAATAGAACTCCACACTGCTATTATTTTGAACATGCCCCTTTCAATTAGTGATTAAATTACACAGAATCTGCAGCATGCATGTCATGACTGTTGGGTCTGTTGGATTTCTATTACTCTACTACACCTGCTAGTATAATATTTGCCATGTAGAAATATCATTTCTACCAAAAACAGCGATTGATCAGGTTAGTGATGTCTGACTGCTATTATTTTGAACACAACTGTACATACATACGCAGACACATGTACGTACATACACACACAAACACCATCCCCCAACCTTCTGCTTTCATTGTACTCAGCTATTGAGCAGACTGACGGCTCCCAGTGCCAATGACAGATCCGGCCTGAGCTCTGAGCCTGCTCAGCAAGACGGCCCTGGGGGACACACTCACCCCCACCATAATTTCCACTCGCCATTGGCGAGGAGAGAGAGAGAGAGAGAGAGAGAGAGAGAGAGAGAGAGAGAGAGAGAGAGAGAGAGAGAGAGAGAGAGAGAGAGTGTGTGTGTGTGTGTGTACACACGCCTGTATATATATATATATATATATATATATATATATATATATCAATCCTGATGTACTGACGGCCGATCTCATTTTATGAGGCCAGAAAATGTCCGGCCAGTACAGATATCCCCCAAATTACCCATTTTTGGAAAGGAGACAGTCTAGGATATTTAGTAAGAGGCATGGCGAGTTTTTTGAAGTTGTAATTTTTTGGAAAATTCACAATCTTTTTTTTTTTTTTTTTACATACTGTCACCAATGCAGTACAGCGTCGTCATATAACTGGTGTGGCCATGAGCAGGGACAATGACTAGTGACAGTACGAAATTAAAAAAAACCCAATATTTTCTTTTTTTTTTTTTATACACTGTGACCAGAGTGTAACCCCTTCCTGCCCAGTAGCATTAGTACAGTGACAGTGCTTTTTATTAGCACTGATCATTGTATTATTGTCACTGGGGATGTCAGTGGCAGTTAGCTAGTTCACACCCAGTGCCACACATAACGTTTTGCTTTTAGGCCAAAAAGTTCACTTTTGGTCTCATCTGACCAGAGCACCTTTTCCCACATTTGCTGCGTCCCCCACATGGTTTCTAACAAACTGCAAACAGGACTTCTTATGGCTTTCTTTCAACAATGGCTTTCTTCTTGCCACTCTCCCATAGAGGCCAGATTTGAGGAGTGCACGACTAATAGTTGTCCTGTGGACAGATTCTCCTACCTGTTATGTGGATCTCTGCAGTTCCTCCAGAGTTACCATGGGCCTCTTGGCGGCTTCTCTGATTAATACTCTCCTTGCCCAGCCTGTCAGTTTAGGTGGATGGCCATGTCTTGGTAGGTTTGCAGTTGTGCCATACTCTTTCCATTTTCGAATGATGGATTGAACAGTGCTCTGTGAGATGTTCAAAGCTTGGGATATTTTATATATAACCTAACCCTTCTTTAAACATATCCACAATTGTATCCCTGACCTGTCTGGTGTGTTCCTTGGCCTTCATGATGCTGTTTGTTCACTAATGTTCTCTAACAAACCTCTGAGGGCTTCATAGAACTGCTGTATTTATACTGAGATTAAATTATACACAAGTGGACTCTGTTTACTAAATCAGTTGACTTCTGAAGGCAATTGGTTCCACTATATTTTAGTTAGGAGTATCAGAGTAAAGGGGGCTGAATACAAATGCATGCCACACTTTTCAGATATTTGTATAAAATTTTGAAAACAATTAATCATTTTCCTTCCACTTCACAAATATGTGCCACTTTGTGCTGGTCTATCACATAACATCCCAATAAAATACATTTATATTTTCGGTTGTAACATGACAAAATGTGGAAAATTTCAAGGGGTATGAATACTTTTTCAAGCAACGGTATAGATCAGCTGTCAATAAATGTCAGTTAGATAAATTTTATGTCAGTAAAAATTAGTCTTTTTTTTTTAGGCGGTTTAGTGTTGGCTTGGCAAGTGTAAGGAAGCACCCATTGACAGCTTGATGCAGCACCACCAGACACTTATCCAGACAGAGTTTGGAGCCAGTTGGGATCATTTTTAAATAGAAGCAGGCTAGAGCTGATCCTGCTCCTCTAGTTCCGGCTGCGGAGAGATATCAGCTGTGCTCTGCCTGCTACCTTTCTGCATAAATAGCTAGTTGGAACCCTGTGCTTGTCTGGTGGCAACAGCTCCTGAAGCCTTTACCCACATCCCCATGTGCCCCACAGCTACACTACACTCTCCTCCTGAGTAACCTAATCCTGGGGTCGATTCACTAAACTCTGCACTCTGCATGCAGTGCACCCCTGAACCCTGCACTCTGTAAGCTGTGCACCCCTGAAACCTGCATTCTATACGTAGCGCACACTTGAACCCTGCACTCTGTACCAGGGGCGGACTGACAACTCATGGGGCCCCTGGGCAATAGGTGATCATGGGGCCCCTGTGCCCTTGCCCAAACTCAAAAAAGCCTATGAAAAAGGTACCAGGGGCATCTCATGGGGCCCCCTACTGACCCCGGGCCCTCGGGCAGTGGCCGAGTTTCCAAATGGTCAGTCCGCCTCTGCTCTGTACGTAGCCCACACCTGAACCCTGCACTCTGTATTGAATGCACACTCCTGGTATTTAATGCCCCTTTAAGACCCTTCCACTGCAGGAGATGCAACTGCTGTTGCCTGAATATGTACTTTTTTTTCCCAGCCGAATGGGAATTTTGCATTGAAATACTGTGTCACAACTGCAAGCCAAGCATTTGGTTAATGAGCTCAACAGGCAAGATTGACAGGCAATGTCGCCTATGAAGCTTGACATGTTGAGTTAAAATTGACGTATTTTGAAGCTAAGCATCAAGGCTATGACAATGTGTACTCAGCCAAGCAGCTGCTATGTTCATTTAAAGGTAGGTGGTCAGTGAGCTGTTCTGTTTACTCATCCTCTTTTAGGCCACACCACTGTTAGACACAATGTGGTCATGTTCATTGCTCTCTTTGGCATGCATAACAGAACTTTTTTTTTCAACTGTATCCCAGCAGGTTGGCTGATAATTTCTCATGCTATGTTGACTTTTCCAAATGTAAACCAGGCCAATTATCTGTTATAGGCATTTTCAGAGTTTACAGATTGTGTTTATACTGTTTAAATATCGAATATTGTAGTTTCTAATAGGAGTTCTGTCATTTTTTTCAGATTGTCAGTAAAACAAAACATGCTCTGTCAGTAAATTTTCCATGTTCTGTCAGTAAAATAAAGTTGCGGGAGGTTGGCAAAACTGCTCTGATGCACTGAGAAGATGGGCACATACATGTAAGCATCATTGATGTTTCCAAAGTCAGAAAATATTGTGATTCCATCCAGATTTATTGGATTCTAATGGAAACATTAAGAGCCTTAAAGTGGAAGTAAAGGCTAATACAATTTACAATTTAGGTTAACACTATTGCTTCCCCCACCTCCTCATACCCACACTGCCTACTGTTTGTAAAAGAGTAATTACCTTTTTGTATCAGTTTTAATCAGCTTCAGTGCAGTCATGTGACTGTAAACTGTGGGTCAGCGAGACTAACAGATCACATAACTGCAGCGAAGCTGAAACAAACAAAATGCAAATACAAATAAGGTATCTCCTGATGCTTGACTAGACCAGGTACTCACTGAGCCCTGAGATAGGGCAAGTACTAGGGTAATGCCGGCAGCCTAGACCAGGACAGTGTTCCACAGATAATTTTTACCAGAACAGAGTCTGGAAGGTGTTCCATGTGAAACCCAGTGCCTATCCCAAAAAAGGGGGTCTAGATGCAGTATACCAAAGGCCAAGCTGAGGATGACCACACCAGACAGCTGTCCACTGAATGGGAACCGTCTAGCTGTGGTGTAGAGACATTCTTGACTGAAAACAAATCAAGGAAAAAAGAAGTGCTAATATAAAATATTAGGTTAGTCCTCTTAGCACACTAGCAAAAAAATTAGGCATGCTGTAGTAGAAGGGGGGTTTATTCTTGGCTGACTCACAGTTTTACGTTTTGTTTTTTCCTTCTGCCAGAGTCCCTCAGTGATAGCTACCCAGAGTTTCAGGTGTGGTATGGCAAACTAGTATATACAGACTGGTGGCCACTGAACCTAAGCTTGGCAGGGATTTATTTATTGGGCGTTACATCCAGCAGCTCCATGCACAATATATTTCTGCATTAACAAACAAAACAAACAATTGATCCCTCTACCTCTCTCATTTCCTCATCCAATTTGCGCTGTTCAAGGGCCTCTTTTTCTGCTCGTTTACGATGTTCTTTCTCCACCTTGTCATATTTTTTCCAGTACAGTGACACTTCCTTCATTAACCTACGTGCTCTAGGAAGTGTTTCCTTGCAATTCTTCTGTGCTTGGATAGCAGCTCTACGAACTTCCCGCATGCACTGATGAGCCAGCTACCAGAAAAAAAAAATATTATATTATACAGGACTTATATAACGCCAACAGTTTGCACAGCACTTTACTAAACAAAGGTAGACATTACAGTTACAATACAATTTAGTACACAAGGAAACAGAGGGCCCTGTTCATTTGAGCTTACAATCTAGTAAAAAATGTATATTAGTGCATACACTTTGAGGCAGCTAACAGAAAAAATGGATATTTATATGTGTACTCTGCAACTCTGTTAATTAAAAGACAATTTCATTAATGCCCAATAGAAACAACCAACAAGACAATTTAAATAATGCACCAAATCAACCCCTCCTATCCCAATTCCTACGAAGTAAGCATCTAACACATACCTTAACTATTATAGTTATGTATCAGTATCAAATTTGGCACCCAAATAAATAATAGTATTATAATAAATACAATTATACAAGCAAATTAAAACTTTCTCTATAAAAATGATACAATAGTAAAGGTATACCTTTTTGCTGTTAGTTAACAGTAAATTGCGGGCTGAGACCTTTTGCTTGTAGGCCTGAAAATAGTAAATAATTATTATAAAGGTTTATGATACAACTGAAAGAACCTCAACAATGCAAAACATAATTACTGATTGTCACATTCCTCTATATTTTACAATTGCTTACATGCCTTTGCCAGCACATCTACATATTTTACAGATTTAAAATAGATAAATATGAGTGGAACTTCATTTTCAATTTTTTTCTATTTTTAGTCCCCCTACAACCTTCCTGTATTAAAAAAAACAGGAATTTTCACACTCGGGCAAACAGTCTCAATTGTTTATCCCCCACAGCACATATTGCATGCATCTGTTTCTATTTAATATCAGACTGCATACAGATCCTTGTTGTGGAAAATGTGGGTGGGATGGCACAGACCTTATTTTTTCTGTGGAACAGATTCTGGCCCAATGTGTTCTCCCTGTTAAATATGGCATTTGATCCTTTTTTGAAGTGCAGTCCTCTAATGGGTATTTTTGGTTACTTGGACATGTCTATTGTGGACCTATATACTGCAGATGCTGTGGATATCTAGGTATGTAACTATGTAGTAAGAAAACGGATTGCTACACAATCTCCACTTCTCCCCACGTAATACTACACTAGGTTTGAGAGATGCGCCGTTTAAAAAACAGAAATAAACTGATCGGGGCTGCCTGCAAAAATGTCAAACATTATGGTGTGCCTGGCTTGAAAGAGTTGACTGTTTCTTGGAGCTTAGCCCCTCCCCTACAGCTATTCCTATTCTTTTAATACAGCTGTTAAAATCCTCCCCTGTGAGTATGTAAAGGCATGAAGAGTGGAAAATGAAAATTTCACAAACATTGTAGAGTGGCCTGATGTTTATTGTATATTATCATACAGAATATGCCTGTGCTCCTGATATGCTGAGGATGATAATGTAGCGTCAACATAATAGTATTGTAACAATCTGCATCAAATGATATTTATTTTCAATGTTTAATTAATTTTCCACTAATGCTATTTGTAAATTGGAAATACTGAACTATTCTACTGTTCAATGTTTTAACCTTGTTATGAAAAAAAAAACAAATTAAAATAAAATGTACTGATTAAAAATAAAATCCATGATTTACTTACCTTCTCCATGCTCTAGTGCTGGCCCCTGCTTATCCTTTGGTCCAGCGCCGGCAATCCTCTTCAAGCATGTTATTCTGTCCATTTCTTGTGAGCCCAGCCTATTGATTACACTGTCACTAGGCATGTCATCAGGTCTCGCAGGCTGGGCCCACAGTACGGAGCAATGCTCAGTCCAGGAATAGTGCCCATTACCAGACTGGCTAGAGGTGATAGGTGATTTTTTGTAAAGGTAAAAAATACTGAGGGGGACATCAGGGGTGGTGGGCTAAATGTTCTGCCTTCATCTGACCTGGCCTAAACATTTCTTAACCACTTGCCCTCCATAGGATTTACCTCCCTTCCTGTCAGGCCATTTTTTGCAATATAGCGCTGCCTTACTTTAACTGACAATTGTGTGGTCATGAAATGAATGTCCTTTTTTCCAACAAACAGCTCTTTCTTTCGGTGGTATTTGATCACCTGTGCGTTTTTTATTATTAGTGCCATAAACAAAAAAAGACTGACAATTATGGAAAAAAAAAACAGTATTTCTGACTTTTTGCTATAAAACATATCCAGTAAAATAAAAAAAAAAATCAAATTTTATCATACTTGGGCTGTCTGCAGTTCAGCACCATTGTTATTTAACCGCTTCCCCACAGTCCTATAGCAGAAATACTGCTACAAGGCGGCAGAACTGTGCAAAATGTTGTATATGTATACGTGATTTGCATGTCCGGGTAGGGGGCGCATGCTACATTGGTGGCTACGATGTCGATCACGGTGTCCCGGCTGGAGATTCCTCGCCAGCACCCCGCGATCACCAAGAAACAGTGTCGTGGGAGAGACCTGTGTGTAAACTCCTGCCAGCAATAACATGCTGCTGTGTATTTCTCTGCACAGCAGAGAAATACACAGCAGCATGTTTCCCTAGTAAAACACAGCACACACATATACTATAACTTTCACGTAAACTAATTCATTTACAAGTACTGGGATTTTTTTTTTTAGCAAATACATGTAGCAGAATACATTTTGGCCTAAATTTATAAAGAAATTTTAATTTTTAAACTTTTTTTTTTACTGGATATGTTTTATAGCAGCAAAAAGTTAAAAAAATATTTTTTTTTTCAAAATTGTCGGCCCTTTTTTGTTTATAGCGCAAAAAATAAAAACCGCACAGGTGATCAAATACCACTGAAATAAAGCTCTTTATACGGGAAAAAAAGGACATAAATTTCAATCATGTACAACGTTGCATGACCGTGCAATTGTCAGTTAAGGCAACACAGCACCATATCACAAAAAATTGGCCTGGTCAGGAGGGTGGGGTAAATCCTCTGGAGGGCAAGTGGTTAATCTGTGGCATTTCAATCTGCCTGGAATTTAGCTTTGGGGAACACACAGCATTCCCTTGCTTCCAGATACATGGGAGTTTATTCATGACATAATGCATGACTAAAATCTGATTCGCTATCAGAATTTGAACCCCCCCCCTCTCCACCTTTGGCAATTCTTTCTTCACGATAGTGAGCCAGACTTTTCTGCGACGAGCATTGAGTTGTTCTAGTGTCATGTGCTTCTTCTTCACTATGGGAGTTGGGCATCATGGGAGAACTTTGCAAACACTTTAGTATGGTGGTGCCTATGAGGTGACTCATCTTCAGAGAGATCTTCTTCTCGCCGTCTTCTTTTCTTTACTTTTTTAAGCTTAGCTTTAGGAAGCAAAGGAGATCATTTTATTTGTGGTGTTATAGTTAGAGAAAATAGAAAACAAATACTATAAATTAGTTTATAAATTAATTCCTAGTACCTACTAGAATACAAAAGTAACCACTCTTCAAATGCGCATTTGAATCCAGACAGCAAACGTGATTACCAAGTCATATAAATGGACAGGTTAGGTATCTGATTTTAGCAAAAGGTATGAATCTGTATTATTTCACTTCAAATCACAGCACATACTAGGTCTACACTGCTGAAGAATGGATGTAAAAATGTTATTAAGGTCTCATGCACACATGAAGAACCCTAAGCGTAGATTGTATATTTGCGTACAGTCATTTATGCAGCTGTACACAGTACTTGTGCCTTCTAGATGGGGCAATAATCTCAAAATGTATGCTGTACAGACCCAAATATATGAGCCCTAATGGAATGACAAAACCTAAAAGCAGACCATATGAGTAAAAAAATTATGCAACAATTATGTGTACATTTTCTACTATTTGCTAAAGTTGTCCCTAACAAAATAGCAAATTTGTGGTACTTCATCCCAATAAGGTTTTACCTAAAGTAATAGCCATTCATTTGAACAAGCTGCTATAGTATGACATTTCATTAAGATCTGATTTCATGGACTCACCCTTAAATTTCTTTTCATCTTTGATTTTTTTCTTTTTTGGCCCTAGGAGATGACGCTGCTGTTCATAGAAAGGATCATGGGTGGACAGGAGGCCTGCACTGTAATACTGATACTGCTGGAGCTGGAACACAAAAGATTAAGCTGGGTGCGCACTATAGGAAAATCAGGTGAACGATCATCTGGTTTTCCTTGAGGTTTCATAGCAAGGCCAACCTGAGGATGGTACTAATTGTACAAAAATTCTAGAATGACAAACGCTTTTATTATTTGACATAGAAACATTGTAGCGTAGATATCATTTTTTATCATTTCTGATCATGAGCAGTCTTTCGTATACAATTTTTCTGGTACAAAAACAGTATACAATGAGGGAAAATCAGACGTGTTCACATACGAGAACAATTTTGGAAATTGTTCCTTCATAAATTTTTGCTTGGAAAGTCTGAATCAATGTCGAAAGTTGTGTACACACTATACGAAAATCAAATGATCGTTCCTCGTGCGGAATTTTTCTTCCGATTTTCTCATAGTGTGTGTGACGGGAGTGACTTTTGGGGGTGGGGGGACCTCTGTATCATCTCCCCAAATCATTATGTTTAATCCACCCTGTGCCTGTTAAGGGGTACAGGGTGTGTATGTGAATGTCCCAGTCTTGTGCATTTGTGTGTTTTCCTTTGTCTAGGCCACGTGGCTGTCCATTGTTTGTTTGCCATGTGCTACCCCCCATTGTGCTGTGTCTTCCTGTCCAGCCAACTATTATGGGATGTACTGTTTGTGTATTGGTGTGGGGGTTGGTCAATATCCTTTTGCCATGTGTTTCATCCCATTGTTCTGTGTCTTGGGTTGGTTGGGGTGGTTCCCTGTAGCCCTTCCCACTGATAGGGCGGGCTGATGATGTATTTCCTGTTCCTGGTTGTGTTTCCCCGCCCTCTGTATATATTCTGCGTTTTGTGTTAAAATAAAGAGTTGGCTTTCTGTTTTAAGAGCTGGGTGCTGTCTATTTTCCTGAGGGATTTCAAGGGTGTGGTCCATGGATGGTGTTCGGACAGGGGAAGCTGCAGGATAACGGAATATACCCAAGTGCGGTCGGGGTACCGGTTCCGTTACAGTGTGTATCCCACTTAAGACAACAAGATAAATACATAGGTAGCATTATGAAAGTATAAAAAGTAAAGAAGAAAGCAAATAACTAATATAGCAGAATAGAAAGTTCTAACAAAACACAAAGAGCTAGACTAAAGATAAGACATCCATAAGCTTGCCTAATTCTATTACTACTAAAATCATTAAGCAGAAAGAATGGGGTTCTTGGACGTACCTCTTTGTCTTTGTGATATTTGTTCAGGTGAAGTTTTTTGTATTTGTGGATTCGCAACATGTTATAAAGCTCCTCTTTAGAAAGAGTGTAGCCATCCTCTTCTTCATCACTCACTGAATCAGAATCACTGGTATCATCACTTAGCAGGATGCTCTAAAAGAGAGAATTTCAAAGCCATAAAAAATTTTAAAATATTTATTTTTACTGTAGTCAAGAAACTTCCTTTTCAAGGAAAATAAATAAGTAATATTTGGCACTGATCACAAAAATATGCATGAAATCCAGGAAAATAGCATCTCTTATATGGCAGATACCATTTGACCCAAAGTCATTTATGCATAAATTGTGTGTGTGTGTGTATATATATATATATATATATATATATATATATATATATATATATATATATACATATACATACACACACACACAGGTGAAACTCGAAAGATTACAATATCATGCAAAAGCTCATTTATTTCAGTAAAGGTGAAACTAATATATGAGATAGAATCAAGATAGTTCAAACCGTGATTTGTCATAATTGTGATGATTATGGCTTACAGCTCATGAAAACCCCAAATCCACAACCTCAGAAAATTAGAATATTGTGAAAAGGTGCAATATTCTAGGCTCAAAGTGTCTAACTCTAATCAGCTAATTAATCCATAACACCTGCAAAGGGTTCTTGAGCCTTTAAATGGTCTCTCAGTCTGGTTCAGTAGGAATCACAATCATGGAAAAGACTGCTGACCTCACAGTTGTGCAGAAAATCATCATTGACACCCTTCATAAGGAAGGAAAGCCTCAAAAGGTAATTGCAAAAGAAGTTGGATGTTCCCAAAGTGCTGTATCAAAGCACATTAATAGAAAGTTATGTGGAAGGGAAAAGTGTGGAAGAAAAAGGTGCACAAGCAGCAGGGATGACCGCAGCCTGGAGAGGATTGTCAGGAAAATGCCATTCAAAAGTGTTGGGGACTTTCACAAGGAGTGGACTGAGGCTGGAGTCAGTGCATCAAGAGCCACCACACACAGACGGATCCTGGACATGGGCTTCAAATGTCGTATTCCTCTTGTCAAGCCGCTCCTGAACAACAAACAACGTCAGAAGTGTCTTACCTGGGCTAAAGAAAACCAGACCTGGTCTGTTGCTCAGTAGTCCAAAGTCCTCTTTTCTGATGAGAGCAACATTTGCATCTCATTTGGAAACCAAGGACCCAGAGTATGGAGGAAGAATGCAAGATGCTTGAAGAGGGGGGGGGGGGGGGGGGCGTGTGTGTGTGTGTGTGTGTGTGTGTGTGTGTGTGTACATACACACAGTGGGGCAAAAAAGTATTTAGTCAGCCACCAATTGTGCAAGTTCTCCCACTTAAAAAGATGAGAGAGCCCTGTAATTGGCATCATAGGTAGACCTCAACTATGAGAGACAAAATGAGAAAAAAAACAAATCCAGACAATCACATTGGCTGATTTGGAAAGAATTTATTTGCACATTATGGTGGAAAATAAGTATTTGGTCACCTACAAACAAGCAAGATTTCTGACTCTCACATACCTGTACCTTCTTCTTTAAGAGGCTCCTCTGTCCTGCACTCATTACCTTTATCAATGGCACCTGTTTGAACTTGTTATCAGTATAAAAGACACCTGTCCACAACCTCAAACAGTCACACTCCAAGCTCCACTAAGGTGAAGACCAAAGAGCTGTCGAAGGACACCAGAAACAAAATTGTAGACCCGCACCAGGCTGAATCTGCAATAGGCATGCAGCTTGGTGTGAACAAATCAACTGTGGGAGCAATAATTAGAAAATGGAAGACATACAAGACCACTGATAATTTCCCTCGATCTGGGGCTCCACGCAAGATTTCACCCCGTGGGTTCAAAATGATCACAAGAACGGTGAGTAAAAATCCCAGGACCACACGGGGGGGACCTAGTGAATGACCTGCAGAGAGCTGGGACCAACGTAACAAAGGCTATCATCAGTAACATACTACACCGCCAGGGACTCAGATCCTGCAGTGCCAGACGTGTCCCACTGCTTAAGTCAGTACATGTCCGGGCCCGTCTGAAGTTTACTAGAGAGCATTTGGATGATCCAGAAGAGGATTGGGAGAATGTCATATGGTCAGATGAAACCAAAATAGAACTGTTTGGTAGAAACACAACTCGTCGTGTTTGGAGGAGAGAGAATGCGGAGTTGCATCCAACATCATGCTTTGGGGCTGTTTCTCCGCAAAGGGACCAGGACGACGGATCCATGTACAGGACAGAATGAATGGGGCCATGTATCGTGAGATTTTGAGTGCAAACCTCCTTCCATCAGCAAGGGCATTGAAGATGAAACGTGGCTGGGTCTTCCAACATGACAATGATCCCAAACATACCTCCCGGGCAACCAAGGAGTGGCTTCGTAAGAAGCATTTCAAGGTCCTGGAGAGGCCTAGCCAGTCTCCAGATCTCAACCCCATAGAAAACCTTTGGAGGGAGTTGAAAGTCCGTGTTGCCCAGCGACAGCCCCAAAACATCACTGCTCTAGAGGAGATCTGCATGGAGGAATGAGCCAACATACCAGCAACAGTGTGTGCCAACCTTGTGAAGACTTACAGGAAACGTTTGACCTCTGTCATTGCCAACAAAGGATATATAACAAAGTATTGAGATGAACTTTTGATATTGACCAAATACTTATTTTCCACCATAATTTTCAAATAAATTCTTTCCAAATCAGCCAATGTGATTGTCTGGATTTTTTTTCTCATTTTGTCTCTCATAGTTGAGGTCTACCTATGATGCCAATTATAGGCCTCTCTCATATTTTTAAGTGGGAGAACTTGCACAATTGGTGGCTGACTAAATACTTCTTTGCCCATATATATATATATATATATATATATATATACACACACACACACATATACACACACACGCACAAACAGCTCGAAAAAATTAAAGGAACACTATGAAAACACATCAGATCTCAATGGGGAAAAATATCATGCTGGATATCTATACTGATATTGACTATTGACTGGGTAATGTGTTAGAAATGCAAGGATGCCCCATCATTTGTTGAAAATGAACATTATCAACCTACAGAGGACTGAATTCAAAGACACCCCGAAAATCAAAGTGAAAAAATGATGCAGCAGGCCAGTCCATTTGCTGAAATTTCATTGCAGCAACTCAAAATGTTGCTTAGTAGTTTGTATGGCCCCCACGTGCTTATATGCATGCCTGACAACATCGGGGCATGCTCCTAATGAGCTGATGGATGGTGTCCTGGGGTATTTCCTCCCATATTTGGACCAGGGCATCACTGAGCTCCTGGACAGTCTAAGGTGCAACCTGGCGGCGTTGGATGGACTGAAACATGATATCTATTGGATATTCTATTAGATTTAGGTCAGGCGAGTGTAGGGGCCATTCAATGGTATCAATTCCTTCATCCTCCAGGAACTGCCTGCATACTCTCGCCACATAAGGCTGGGCATTGTCGTGCACCAGAAGGAAACCAGGACCCACTGCACCAGCGTAGGTTCTGACAATGGGTCCAAGGATTTCATCCCAATATCAAATGGCAGTCAGGGTGCCATTGTCTAGCCTGTACAGGTCCGTGCGTCCCTCTATGGATATGCCTCCCCAGACCATCACTGACCCACCACCAAAACGGTCATGCTGAACGATGTTACAAGCAGCATTAAATTCTCCACGACTTCTCCAGACCCTTTCACATCTGTCACATGTGCTCAGGGTGAACCTGCTCTCATCTGTGAAAAGCACAGGTTGCCAGTGGTAGACCTGCCAATTCTGGTGTTCAATGGCAAATGCCAATGGAGCTCTGTGGTGCCGGGCAGCGAGCACAGGGCCCACTAGAGGATGTCGGGCCCTCAGGCCATCCTCATGAAGTCAGTTTCTGATTGTTTGGTCAGAGACATTCACACCAGTGCCATACTGGATGTCATTTTGTAGGGCTCTGGCAGTGCTCATCCTGTTCCTTCTTGCACAAAGGAGCAGATAACGTTCCTGCTGATAGGTTAAGGGCCTTCTACGCCCCTGTTCAGCTCTCCTAGAGTAATTGCCTGTCTCATGGAATCTCCTCCATGCTCTTGAGACTGTGCTGGGAGGCACAGAAAACTTTCTGGCACTGGCACATATTTATGTGCCACCTGGAAGAGTGGGACTGCCTGTGCAACTTCTGTAGGGTCCAGGTATCGCCTCATGCTACCAGTAGTGACACTGACCCTAGCCACATGCAAAACTAGTAAAAAACAGTCAGAAAAGATAAGTAGGGAAAAAAATGTCAGTGGCCTCCACTTGTAAAACTATTCCTGTTTTGGGAGTCATCTCATTGTTGCCCATCTAGTGCACGGTTGCTAATTTCATTAACACCAAAGCAGTTGAAACTGATTAACAACCCCCTCTGCTACTGACCAGATCAATATCCCAGGCGTTTCATTGACTTGATGCTATACTCTGATCAATATGTTTTCAGTGTGTGTGTGTGTATATATTTTTTATTTTAAATATATATTATTTGGCACTCCCTGTGGAATATAGATAACTATATGCTTGGCTTGAGTACCTGTGTCTGGCAATACTGCCAATATTAATATACAGATAAGGGATACTAGCTGGTTAATGGTATCCTGCCATAACAGGAAGTTCTAATTTGATGAAGTGGAGTCACATTATTATTATTATACAGTATTTATAAAGCGCTAATAGTTCACTCAGCGCTGTACATTACAAAGGGGGACAGAACATGTGACAGAACAATACCAATACAATGCAAAACATGAGGGGATTGAGGGCCCTGCTCTTTTGAGCTTACAATCTAGGAGGGAGGGGATGGTGGCACAGGAGGAGATAGCTGTGGGGGATGGAGTGGTAGGAAGAGTGGAGGAGGTCGGCAAGTTAGCGGGGGGGGGGGGGGGGGGTGGGGGGGGGGGGGGGGGGGGGGGGGGGGGGGGTAGGCTTCCCTGAAGAGATGGGTTTTCAGGGTGCACCTAAAGGAGAGGAGAGTAGGTGATAATCTGATGGGTTGGGGCAGGGAGTTCCAGAGGATGGGTGACACCCTGGAGAAGTCCTGGATACTTACTATTACATTATTACTTACCTTTAACCACTTTCGACTTTTCTTTAACTTCGAAAAGTTATACAAACTTCCTCGCTCAAATTTTGCCTCTAAAGAGAGAAAACATGATGATCTCCTCTAAGATATTGCACATATAAAATACTACTACTAATTAACAGTCTACTATGTGTAAATTGACATTTTTTTATGCATGGTGCTTTTTTCCCCCCAAAATTTTCTGCTAACAAGTCTGAACAATATGCAGCATATACAAAACAACTAACAAACCAGAAAGAAAACACGGAAAATATTAATCAGTTTAACAGTCAAGTCATACCAATGGGGATACATAGTTTTCCCCATGTGATAAGATATTTATGTATTACCCGTGTAGCTTAAAAATTGTAGAATTCTACGCAAAGGGGTTTTCTCATGATGATCTCCTCTAAGATATTGCACAATAAAAATACTACTACTAATAAAATAACAGTCTACTATGTGTAAATTGACATTTTTATGCATGGTGCTTTTTTCCCCCCCAAAATTTTCTGCTATTACAAGTGTCTGAACAATATGCAGCATGCAGGGCCTTCACTTCAGAATAAAGAGACAAAACATTTGCATAAAAATCTAACAACCAGAAAGAAAACACTAATATTAATAGACAGTTAACAGTCAAGTCATACCAATGGGGATACATAGAATTTAATATATTTTTCCATGTGATAAGATATTATGTATGGACTACACCGTGTAGCTTAATTAAATTGTAGAATTCTACGCATAAGGGGTTCTCATACAACTGGAAGCATAGCATACAGAAGTTACAGCTTTGAAGCTTTAAAACAAACCTGTTTGTAGGACTCCATTGAGCGAGTGAACAGAAGGCAGTCCTGGATTACCTTCTTCTGACAGCTCTCCAAGCAGAGGTGACATGGGCTCCTCCTTCACCTGCATGGAAGGATCCTCAGACTCTGTAAGCAGGGGGGTCTCATCCAAGCCATCCTCACTTTCATCACTGAATGTGTTATAAGTATGTTATGTAAAAGAGAGATCCAAAATATCTTAACAAAGAGCACTGTCTGTCTAAAATTCCCATTTTACAAAAATTATGAAAATAATATATTCAGCAATGTGCAAAATTTTCAAACCTGTTATAAACTTTTGGTTTTATTATTTAGGGGCTGTGTCAAAGGCATCAATCTGAGATGCTTCTAAGATAATTCAGAATTCAATGACTGTGCATTTGATCTGCAGATAACCTGCTGATCTGCTTTAGGAGGGGTTTTGCCTTGCCATAGACTTGTATGGGATTGCAGAATACACTTGAAGTGAGCAAAAGCCCAATGACACAGGCCCTTAAAGTGGTTGTAAAGGCTCAAGGTTTTTTGCCTTTATGCATTCTATGCATGAAGTTACAAAAACTTCTCTGTACAGCATCTCCCCAAGCCCCCCAATACTCATCTAAGCTCCCTCTAGAACCAGCGATGTGCACTGCAGTCTCGGCTATTCCGGGACTCAGTCTCTTTGTTGGCTGAGACAGCTGCGGGAGCCAGTGAGCCAATGAGAAGAGAGAGGGGGCAGGTCCGAGCCATGAATGGACACACAGAGCAGCAGCTGGGAAATGCGCATGCTCCGGTTCCCCCATAGCAGGCTGCTTGCTGTGGAGGCACCCAATAGAAGGGAGGGGCCAGGAGTGCCAGCGAGGGACCTGAGAAGAAGAGGATCCTGGCTACTCTATGCAAAACTACTACACATAGCAGGTTAATATAAACATGTATATTATTTTTTTTTTTTTAATTAAGCTTTTAGAATCAATTTAAAATTGTGCAACTTTTTTACAATGTATTTTTTGTTTTTGTTTTTGCTACTTTGTGTGAAAGCACAACCATTGAAATAGTTTAACTGCAAATTTCTGACAACAAATTGTATGAGGCCAAGTTAGAGGTGATCTGTTGATTGGCATCAATGAAAGCTTATTTTGTATGGGAAGGTTGGGCTGGAAACTTTTGCAGCATGTCCATTTTTTTCTTGTGCCTTGGTCAGGCTTAAGACAGAGGATAGTCTTAGTTTTTGCTCTGATACATGCTAATGGATGAACCAATAAACCTGTGTAGGGTATATCATTTGTGAATTACCAATTTTGGGTGCTATACCAACAATACCAAAAGCTACCATGGCAGCTGTCAACTTTGCATGGCTGCACAGCTAAGTCAATCTTTCATAGAGATCTGTGATGAATGAAAAACAAGTCACATCTGGCACCGTAGCAGACAGACCTCTACTTCTCAAAGGAACACAAGCTCTGTGATTACTGCACTTGTAGTCCACTGATGCTTCCTCCAGCTCAGTAACTACATTGCAAAAGTCCTTACCCCAGTACAAACAGAGCTGGCGCTAAAGTCTGCAGGAGCCTGAGCATTGCAACCCATTGATCATGGTTGCAATGCTTTCCAGGTTCATTTGCATAATAAATTCAGGCTTGCTGCACATACAATACATTCAAATATAATTATGCATAACTGAAATAAATTTTTTATACAGCATTAGTGGATTTCAGCATTATCTAAGTTTCCCTGGCTATAATGTATTAAAAATTAAACTGGCTCATTATCATCTTCAAACAGAAGTTGGAGCAGCTGTCCATATTAACCAATTAGCTTCTAGCTTCAGCTAGGCCCCTTTTACACTGATGCAGTGCAGTATGTCCCTACTGCAGGTGCAGCTCAGTGCACCTGCAGGTTTGGTTCAGATTAGCTGCGCTTTTCTATAGAGTTCTATTATGTCCAGTGGTTTTGGTATGCTTTCAGAAAGTACACCAAAATCACTGGACATAATAGAACTCTATGGAAAAGCGCAGCAACCCACAACCAACCCGTGGGCCCACTGCACTGCATCCACGGTACAGGAAAACTACACCGCATCAGTGTGAAAGTGGCCTTAAGCTTTGAAATTGAAAGCTCCAGTCTTAGTAAATGCCCCTCAGTAGCATTTAAATTATCACACAAGAGCACATTATAAAAATTGCAAAATAGGTACTATAGGAAATTATTGATATTGATGGTACGAATTGGATTGATAGTTTTAATGAACATATTCAGTGAAGTTAAATGGAATTTCTTCAAAAGGCAAGTGAATACCTGGAGATGCTTCTATTAAATATAGCAGATGTCTGGCGAAGAAACTGGTCCAGTCGCAGGGAGCGCTCCAGGTACTGGAGGTAGAGGGGCTTTGCAAGGTCTGTGGAACAGCCATCCTCTGTGGCTTCTAGCTCTGCTGCCATAGACTCAACCTCTCTTCATACAGAATGTGACCCTCAAGGAGCTTCAAGGCTGTGGAAAAAAAAAGTTTTACAAACTCATATTATGCATAATTATTATAAAGTATAAAATTATTATAAATCATTTGCATAATTATTATAAAGTATAAAAAAAATTTTGAAAAACTTTTGTTAAAGTGATTCTAAAGTCTAAATCTTTCCTATCGTAATGCATTCCCTGCATTATGGTAAAAAAAAACATCCCACTGGTTGTTGTGCCCTCTCCCCCTTAAGACTTACCTGACTCCTTCACCAATACAGCATTGTCCCATCAGCGTCACTCTTCCTGCCTTAACACACTGAACCATAGGCTCCTGTTTCTCTCAGTCAAATTCAGTTAGGAAGGAAGGGGGAGAGGGGTGGGGGGACAGGCTTGGTAGAACCACACTGTGTATGTTTAGGGACGTATACAGCCCAGCTCAGGAGCGCGCCCACATAGGTACCCCCATAGCACAGGGCTTGCTGTAGGAGCATCTGCATGAAGAAGGAGCAGACAGCGCTGGTGTAAGGGACCACCAAGTGTAGCATCTTTTTAATTTTAATGAAAAAAACAACCTTTACAATAATGTTCATGTTTATTTAACCACTTGACCTCTGGAAGGATTTACCCCCTTCATGACCAAGGCATTTTTTGGAAAAAGATATTTTCTATTTTTTCTCATAAAACAAATCCTATAAAAAAATATATATATTTTTCAGACATTTAGGCCAAAATGTATTCTGCTACATGGCATAGTGTACAGGTTTTTTTTCAGGTATTTACCAAAACATATTCAAGCTATAGTTATATAATGGATATGGGCTGAAAGTTCACACTCTCAGGTGTGTTTTGGAGCATTGCCCATCTGTACTGTGAAGTGCTGTCCAATCAACTTTGCTGCATTTGGCTAAATCTGGGCTGACAGTATATCTCTAAACACTGCAGAATTCATCCAGCTGCTTCTGTCACATGATCAATAAACACCAATGACCTATTGCCACTGGAAGCCATGCATGCCCATGCCATCACACTGCCTCCACCATCTTTTACAGATGACGTTGTGTGCTTTGGATCATGAGCAGTTCCAAGTCTTCGCCACACTTTTTTCTTCCCGTCATTCTGGTACAGATTAATCGTCGTTTCATTCGTTAAAAGAATGCTTTTCCAGAACTGGTCTGGCTTTTTTAGATATTTTTTTGGCAGAGTCTAATCCGGCTTTTCTATTCTTCAGGCTTATGAATGGTTTGCACCTTGTGGTGAACCCTCTGTATTTGCTTTCATAAAGTCTTCTCTTGATTTTAGACTTTGACAATGATACGCACACCTGCTGGAGAGTGTCCTTCACTTGTCTGGATGTTGTGAATGGGTTTTACTTTACCATAGAGAGGATCCTGCGATCATCCACCACTGTTGTCTTCTGTGGACGTCCATGCCTTCTTATGCTGCTGAGCTCACCAGTGAGTTTTTCTTTCCTCAGAATGCACCAAACTATTGATTTGGCCACTTCTAATGTGGCTGCTATCTCTATGATGGATGTGTTTAGTTTTTGAAGCCTTACAATGGCCTGTTTCACTTGCATGGACAGCTCCTTTGAACACATGATGTACGCTCACAGCAATAGATTCCAAATGCAAATACCACACTTAGAATCAACTCCAGACCTTTTACCTGCTTAACTGATGAATAAATAATGAAGGAGTAGCCCACATCTGGCCATGAAACAGCATTTGATTCAATTGTCCATTACTTTTGGTCCCTTGAAAAAGGGGGAATGGCTACTATAAAGAGCTGTAATTCCTAAACCCTTCCTCCAATTTGGATGTACATAACCTCAAATTAAACCCGAGAGTGTGCACTTTCAGCCCACATCCATTATATAACTATAGCTTGAATATGTTTTGGTAAATACCTGACAAAATCCAAAATTGTGCCTGTGTCCAAAATATATATGGACCTAACTGTATATTAATTGATTTATGTGAAAGTTATGTCTAAAAACAATGGTATATACACTGGAATTTATGCAGTTATGATGCCATAGTATGGTAATGGCGGTGATCAGCAGCTTATAGTGGGACTGTAATAGAGTAGCGGGCAATCTGGCGCTAACAGACCCTTGATGGATGGTATACTGACACTAATAGAGTGAACAGATAATATTGTACACTGTCACTGTACTAATGACACTGGCCTGGGAAGGGGTTAACATCAAGGGGCAATCAAGGGGTTAACTGTGTGCCTAACAAACCATGTGTAATGTGTGTTATATGAGCTGCTTTTACTAAGAAATATGGTTGTTTTTTCTAGAAACAGCCAGATTGCTGCTCTGCAATCAGCAGGACTCAGCCATATAACACTGTCTGACAACTGTTGACAAAATTGCGCTGTGTCCAACTGGGAAGGGGGGAATGGCACACATGCATGCCCCAAACCCGGAAGCAATCCGGCAGCGGTTATTTACATTGATGGGCCTGCAGCTGCCACCTGGTCACAGTAAATCTACTGTAACTGGGCGGCAAGTGGTTAAAGCCCCATCATTTTGCTCTCAGAGTGGAAAATAGGTATTTTAAAGACAAGCTGGCATATGAAAGTGTTAAATGTAATTTACTTTTTTTTAAGTGGTGAATGCAGCTAAAAAGCTATTATTCATGCACCCTGCTAGACAGTGTTAGAGGGGTGGTAGAAGCTGAGCAGGACTTATCATTTCCCTAAACTCCTACAGACAGGGGGAAATCGGGGGAGGTGAGGGAATTGGTAAATAGTATTATGTTACACCCTAAACATGGGTGCTGACACCCTGCTGACCCTGTACTGTGAATGTTTACATGTTATGTGCAATTAAACCATGGCAACATCTAATGTTTGTGTAGTGTTATGTTCAGCAGACTGTGTTCTTCTATTGTTGTGACTTAGATGATGTTCAGAGCACATTTTATGCCCAATTCATGCAAAACTCCACGTAATCCCAAGGGGTTCACATACTTTTTCTTGCAACTGTATAATGTTGGCCCTGAAATGCCAAGATAGTAGAAGCAACCCCCCAAATGACCCCTTTTGGAAAGCAGACACTCTAAGGTATACTAGATTGTAAGCTCGAAAGAGCAGGGCCCTTGAGCCCCTCATGTATTGTTTTGTTACTGTATTGTCTCATTTTCTGTCCCCACTATAATGTATAGCACTGAGCAAACCTTTTGGCGCTATATAAATACTGTATAATAATAATAAAATAATATGCTAAGGGGCATAGTGTGTATTTTGCAGATCTCATTTGTTGCCACAAGTTTTTGGAAAACAAAGAAAGAAAACGAAAATTTATTTTTTTTTCTTCTTTTTCAAAACTCTGTGACAAAAATGATATCTGCAAAATATTCACCATGCCTCTTATCAAATTCCTTGGGTTGTCTACTTTCCAAAAATGGGTCATTTGGGGGGGCGGTTGCTTGTTCCTGGCAACGTGGACAGAAGATTGTCAATTGAAATTGTTTATGTAATGCTTTCATAGGTATTATTTTGTATCAATACACTTTTGTGGAGATTTTAATAATTTTTCAGTGTAATCTTTGGGCACCCATAAAGTCCACTCTTCTATCTCATATAACATATACAGTTGTGTTCAAAATAACAGCAGTGTTATTATATTAAAAGTGAATAAAGCTCAAAATCCTTCTAATAGCTTTTATTTCCAAACACACAAATGCACTGGGAACACTAAACATTCTATTTAAAATCAAAACATGAAGAAAAAAATATCAAAATTTGTGTTGTTCTTCTAAAAAATTTGAAGAAAAGTGAATATTAGACTGTTCAAAAAAAAAAATAGCAGTGTTTGTATTCTTCTTTACAAACTCAAACATTCACTATATAAACTGAAAAATATTGGAAGATTTTGCTTTCCTTTGAATCACTTAATATTTAGTTGTATAAGCACTGTTTCTGAGAACTGCTGTACATCTGTGTTGCTTCTAGTCAACCAACTTCTGGCAGCTGTGAACAGGTATTCCAGCCCAGGATGATTGGACTACATTCCACAGTTTTTCTCTATTTCTTGGTTTTGCCTCAGAAACTGCATTTTTTATGTCACCCCACAAGTTTTCTATTGGATTAAGATCCGGGGATTGGGCTGGCCACTCCATAACGTCAATCTTGTTGGTCTGGAACCAAGATGTTGCACGTTTACTGGTGTGTTTGGGGTCGTTGTCTTGTTGGAACACCCATTTCAAGGGCATTTCCTCTTCAGCATAAGGCAGCATGACATCTTCAAGTATTCTGATGTATTCAAACTGATCCATCATCCCTGGTATGCGATAAATAGGCCCAACACCATAGTATGAGAAACATCCCCATATCATGATGCTTGGGCAACCATGCTTCACTGTCTTCACAGTGTACTGTGGCTTGAATTCAGTGTTTGGGGGTCATCTGATAAACTGTCTCTGGCCACTAGACCCAAAAAGAACAATCTCTTACTTTCATCAGTCCACAAAATGTTGCGCCATTTCTCTTTAGGCCAGTCAATGTGCTCTTTGGCATATTGTAACCTCTTCAGCACGTCTTTTTTTCAACAGTGGGACTTTGCGGGGGTTTCTTGCAGATAGCTTGGCTTCACATAGGCGTCTTCTAATTGTAACAGTACTCACAGGTAACTTTAGACCTTCTTTGATCTTCCTGGAGCTGATTGTTGGCTGAGTCTTCCACGTCTTTCAGGTTTTGGTTGCCATTTTAAAGCATTTACGATCATTTTAGCTGAGCAGCCTATCGTTTTCTGCACTTCTTTATATGTTTTCCCCTCTCCAATCAACGTTTTAATCAAGGTACGCTGTTCTTCTGAACAATGTCTGGAACAACCATTTTCCTCAGAATTTCAGAGAAAAATGCACTGTAACCAGCATGTACATTTGCTGCCTTCCTTCCTTAAATAAGGGCAATAATTGCCACCTGTTTTTCAAAGAATGAATGACCTCACTAATAGAACTCCACACTGCTG